CTTTGGATAGACGAACACTTGCATCACCTAAAGAAACCTTGGAATGATGATTCCCCTGTAAATACTAAGAAATGATGGTTTCCCACGGTTTCAACGTGGTGCAGGGCTTCGTCCATCCACAGTAGGTTCCTGAGGGAAACCGTTGGAACGTCACATCGAAGCATATCGACGCCCCGCAGTCAGAGATCTCCCCAACGGAGCGGTTGCTGAGATGCATCAACGCCATTGTGCAGGCTTGGGTTCAAGGGTCAGCTTGCTAAGTCCCCCAGTAGTGCCCTTTTACTCTTTTTTAGGGGAGGGTTCCCCTACCAAAATAGACTACAGAAAAAGGGTACCCTTATTCTAACCTCTCTACTGGAGGACCTAGCTTGGCCTCTCGAATCTTAACACTGCCAGGCTTAGCTTACCTTTTCAACTTTCTTTGTTTTGTTGGTTTCCATAACTTTAGCGTTCAACGCTCAACCAGCAAAAAGTGTCACTTTGTTGCAGAGGGTCTAAGTCTGGTGAAGTTCACTCAGGAGCACCCAGACCATAGTTCTGGAACCTGGGGGGGGTAGTGGTTGGTCATTGGGCTTAACATGTTTCACGCGCCAAAACCATGGTTGCAAGTGCGTAATGAGGGGTATTGATCACTCAGAAGTCCACTGATGTCTTGACTGATATTGGGTTTAATCTTCAGGTTTTCCATTAAACCCGCAAAATGCTACACTTTTTGCAGAGGGGTCGACAGCAACCAAGATGTTAGCTTCGACTTCAAAGGGGTCCCTAGCTAAAACATATCCGGACCGCCTGATGAGTACGGTCCGAATTCATCCCAAGTAAACGTTACCCTTTGTGCCTGGGCCCGAGCCAATCAACCAGTTCAACCATTGACTTGTCAGATACCATGGTGGTCCTCGGGATCCGAATGTTGACAATTTCTGCGGGTTGTCAATTTCAGAAACTGGGGTCACTTGGGGCGGGACCAGTTGTCTTTTGATTTGCGAATTTGTATTGCCTCCCGAGAGCTTTTCCAACACAACAGAGGGGTGGGCCCCGGCTGACAGGGCGAAGGGATGGCAAGCCTGTCTCAAAGTGCTTTGCGATTTGTTTGGGCGCGGAATCAAACAGTCCCAGCATGGTGTGAAGGGGGAGCTGGTTCTTTTCCTTAAAAGCCCCCTCCGACTGATTTTTCCCCATGTCCGAAATCGCCCATGTCGCCGCAAAGCCAGGGCTAAAGATCCACTCAGTTTAAGGAACACTGCAGTTCGAATCATTGGAAAGAGAAGCAAGCTTGACTAGCACGGGCCTACTCAATCACTGGACATTCGGAAAGTGTCGGGGCCCCTAGCCGAAATGTGCTGAGGGCATGAGCTTTTGGGTTGACTACATTTGGAACAGGGTCAGAAAATATGACTTTCTGTGCAGTACCCCAAATGTGGACCAAGGAAGCCCAAAGAATGCAGACATGAAAGGGACGGCAGACACTTCAACAACATTTGCTGACAGACTCCCTAGCTGTGGGAGTTAGCAGGATATGTGTTTGAAGTCAATAGGCTGTGGTACAATGAAAGCATTGTGGCTTGAACATGATGGTTGAATTGTAGAAGGCCCCGTCGCCGTAAGTTGATCTGGTTTTCGAGCTGATGTTTCAGGAGAAGCGCCAGCAGTTCCTCCACCTCAGGCAGGAAGTGAGGGGAACACAGGGCACATGCGCTTGTGCAAAGTTCTCCCATCAACCCTGCGGGGGTGACTTGAGAAGCAGCTCTTCACATGCCAAGGGTTCTATGGGCGTGCAAGGCGTTTTGGAGATACTCTTTTTGGGCCTGCCGAAGGAAGCCAACGGGAAACCGATTTGTCTTCGTCACTTACGCGCACCCGCATCTGCAAAACACAGCACCATGTTTCTCGTTTCTGAAGACACAGGCTCAACCAAGCACCCCTGACACCGAGGACCAGATACCTAGGTCCTAGGTCAAGGGCGAGGGTGCATGCCTTGGCTCTTATCGCTTTCGAGCAGAAACAGGATAAGCGTTGAACCAGCCAGATGATCCTTCCTGCAGATCCTGGGGGTGGGGCAGTTTTCCTGTACACGGTTGCATCTTTCTCTGATCCTTGTCGCGAGCCTCGCTTCGACCAGAATGGTTAAGGACCCGAGTCTCTTTAGGTATACAAGGCTAGCTACGTGTTTGTTGGTTTTTTGGCGAGATAGTAAAATGTATATGACCCCCTGTTTCTAATAATTGTTCTCCCCGCACAATTTACTCTACCCCCATTCTTTATCCACTACATCAGCTGCAGACCTTGGTGGGCTTCTATTTGCTGAAACAAATTTTGTATATTTTCGCCTGTAGGTTTTTAAGGGAATTGATCACTATAAATATATGATGGCATTTTTTCCAGCGAACTTAAGCAAAAGGAAAGTGGGGTTCCTGCTGTGGAACGTTTATCTCGCGGCCTGAGTTTTGTCAGAGCTTTTCCTTGGGAAATCATCTATTCTTGTCCGGATCTGGATTTTGCAACTTGCCGGGTCAACCGTGCAACTGAGAAGGAGGGATAGCCAATGACATTGGCCAATTAATGACGGGTGACTATGCGATACGAGCCATGGAAAGGTTATGCCCCAGAATTGCCCTTCATGGCCCCTAATGGTCACCGATGGTTACTGTTTGAACACGCATGAGCTCACCCTCCATCAGGCTTGCTGCAATTTGCCAACGTTTGCGCTGCTGCCAGGTTGCAATGGCTTGTCTTCCACCTCTCCAGCAGGACACGGGACCTCCGTACTCGCTGAGAGGTCTCTCATGTAAGGTCCCTCAGGTTCCCTTTGGGTCAGTGGGAATGCGCTCCAACCTGTTCACTTGTCTTTCATTTGCGGGTTGCTCAAAATGAACCTCTTTTGCTTGGGAAATTAAGAGGAATCCCTTGCCATTCCATGAAGTTAACCCATTTAGGGGCCAAAAGAGTTTCGTTGACCTGGGTTTGACCCCGTGGGATTGTGCCGCGGCGCGACAGGTTTCCCTTGGCTTTCCTGCAGGACACCTCTGGAAAGGGTCGAAGAAGTACGGGATTCTGTTTGGTGGCCCTCCCGCTCGAAAATCTTCTGGGGCCCAAAAAGGTACCAACTCCAACTTGATGCTTAAGAAAGGCTTCGGCAGGTTTTGGTCACTTTCACCTTGCAATCCCCAAAGTCCTAACACGCAGACGTCTGTGCCGGACGTTTTGGTTGGTGCAAGGGCTGAAGGGAACACTCCGCAGGTCCAAGTCTTTGCCGAGAGCACGATGAACCGTAGGGCACGCTTCGAAGTGGTGTGTGATCTCAAGCTGTTCAATGCAATCATATATTTGTCATTTTTTGCACGAGAGTTTTAGTTACCATAGCCATAGCTCAATGCACGCCATGCAAAAGCTAAGGATCTTGCCCTCAAGTGTCACAACCATTGAGCCAACCTCTGGGTCGAATCATGTTTGTGGCTCCTTTTCGTCCCGCACCCCCTGCGACTGGCAGGCCGGAGGAGAGATTTCGCCTACCGGATGCTCTAGAAACCCCGCGCACGCAGCAAGCGCAGCACGCGCGGGAGGCCGGGCAAAGGGCAAATACGAAGTCGTAGGATGCTGGCAACCATTGTCACGGAGTCCAGTTTTTATCTTGGAAATCGATGTCCGCGTGCAGTGCAGTATGTGCGAACCAAAAAACATGCGGCATGCTTCTGTTCCTTGCAGAGATACATGGATGTCAGGGTCCCTTTTTGGGGTGGTTGTTAATCCAAAGCAAATGCCAGGTTCCCCTTGTGACAAACCCACATGTCTGGCATGTGTTTTGTGTGTGAGGCCTGGTGGTGGAACATCACCAGCAACAACAATGCCATGAAAGACCTGCCAGGCACGTTTCGCGCAAAGCGGGGGACGTACGCGAATCGCGCATGGATCAGGGACCCAATCGAAGAGTTTTCGGTAATGGTTTTTTTCCTGCCTTTGTTGCAAAAAGGACAAGCAAATCAAGCATTCTACAAAAACGCTCTGTGTGTGTGTGCGCGTGGGTGTCCTTTCTGTTTGTGTATTTGTTTCTCCTGACCTGCAGTATAAATACCCACGCGAGCGTATGAGGCCAACCCCTGACTACAGCCTGGTATTTCCCATGCAAAACACCCCTCCCCCCCAAGAAAGGTGGGGATTGTGAGTAGCGACCCCTTCCCACCACCACCACCACCACCACCACCACCACCACCACCACCACCACCACCACCACCACCACCACCACCACCACCACCACCAGCTTTTACCCGTGCGTTTCCATGGCACTTGGGGTTTCGGCCCGCGCCAGATGACCTGACGGCCTCTCCCAGTAGCTCTCGCACAAGCTCGCCGCGGCCATCCAAGGTGCAGCCAAGTCTTCTTTCCAGGGCATGATGTCAGCTTCAAGATAGGGCTACCTGGAGTCTCCATGACCCTTAAAAAATGGGGTTACCCAAAATTACCCATTTTTTTAAGGGTCATGGAGACTCTAGGTGCTCCCAAGAATTACCCACTGTTTTAGTTGGGGTGTCAAATGATGAAAGGCCCCTGACAAAACTGGAGCATGGAATCCAGGTTGTTCAAAATGCATCCCGAAAAACGCCGGGCATTTTCAAACGTTCAATGCTGATTCAGAGCCAACTCAAAAAGGAAAGCCCTGACTACGTCCGGACCCTTGTGACTAATTGGCACCTAGGAGAGTTGGGATGTGTCCTACAATCGGAGCACCCGCAAATGATGACTCGTCATGATAAACATATAGTTCCTCTCAAAGTGGAAACATCTCCCTGTGATTTGTTTGGGTTCCCCTTGTTTCAGCCCGGGGAACACCATGCAGCATTTGTGCGAAGGCTTGCTATGCTTGCCTGAAAGCTATGGTACCTTGAAGTTGCCCCCCGCGGCTTGGCTGGTGTTCCCGGCTTTTGGGCCTGCTGAAAGGCGAGGAAGCAGTTCAAAGCTTTGCATTCTGCTTGAGGGCCCAGGAATAGTTGCCTTCAGGGCCAGCAATGAAGGTGCGAGCCATCAAAACCTGGCTTGCTTGGTGCGGAGATCAGGCGATTCTTCACCAGTTTTGGGACCGCTTTTGATTGTTTACCGTTTACTGACCTTTTTGCCCGCCCTTTCAGATTTCCCTCACGTTCCACCAGGAAACAGTCGGCGGTAAAGTTTAATACGGGTTCCCCAACATTGATTGGGCGTGAAACCAGGTCCCAAGTTCCCGGACCTTTTTTTTATGGTGAATTCTTTAATTACTATAGTACTATTTATTGCAGCGAATCACCGGTTGGTGCCTCCCCTCTTTTCCTGGTCCCTTTTCGTTGGTCTCCGCTGCGCCCGGTTGGGGCCCTTCGGGCGCCGCTTCGGCGGCGCTTCGCGGCGCGCCTTTCGCCGCGGGCGCGGAGGTGCGGCCGATGGAGCCCTCCGCCGCCGCGAAGCGCGCCACCCGCGTGGCCGCCTGCGCCGTGAAGTTGGAGCGAAGGCGCGCGCTTTCGGCGTTCGGCGGCGCCAGCGATCCGCGGCGTTTTTTTTTCTTTTTTTTTCTTTTCGGCGTTCGGCGCGGGGGTTCGGTTGGTTGGTTGCGGGTCATTTGGTCGGGTCCTAGTGGAATCATATTTTTGGAGCCAAAGCTTTCCAAGACGGGGTTTGTTCCCACCCTACTGTCTCCAACATTGGAGGGCCAGCCTTAGGGCTCGGATTCTGGTTCCAATGGAGGTCGAGTTTCCTTCTGGCGTTCAGACATACGGTTTAAACGATGCAATTCAGGGGGCTCAATTCAGATCATGAAACTCTGTTCTTACGCTAAACAATGGTATTACTAACCCAACCATTGTTTCAGTTGTGGTTTGAATCCTAGGGTAGTAAGTAGGTAATCATGGTAAGTGGGGTAGTAAGTTGGTTGACTTACAACAATGCAAGAGGCGAGACTGTTAGAATGGGAGGGGGGGGGGTACGTTGCATCCAAATTTAGTCAAATTAGGTAAATATTTGTTTTAGGCCCTTATAGTACAACGCATTCCTACACCCCTGTGATTCGGGGGTTTTGGAAGCAAATGAACCCATGTCCTTGGAACATATGAGATCTGCCTATGGGCGAGGTCATCATCAAGGTTTGTTTCTGAGGGAATCCTTATGTCAGAACCTGGAATTATGGAGGACACATATGGATTTCCTTTGATCCATGAAGCCCGCTAGGGTTATCCATTCCCCACTCGGATTTAACTCGTGCAGGTTTGGCTTTGGGGTGCCCAACGACTGCTCCAAACCTCTCTTTGTCTGCCCAGGTTCAATGCCTCAGCCGCTCCAAAGAGGAGCGCCGCAGTCAGTTCAGCATTTGAGCAGATCTGGGTGCCACATAGCCCATGGGTTAAAATGTCTATTCCCCCCTAAGTGAGCCACAACCCAAAACACCTGGGTAAATGCAGGGTAGGGGGATAGTCCCAGAATAAGTATGGAACTCCGCCCTTTTGGTTCTTTGTATGATTTTGGGTAGTCACATACCATGCTTCTATTGTGACTCTTCTTTGGTTAGCCTGGAGCCTGGAATTGTTCCTTTGGTCTGTGGATCTGCTATTCGGACCATAGTAATCCTTCAAGTTGCAACCCCTTATGTCTTCCAGCGCACGAGCATCAACCAGGCCATCCAGCGCAAGCTGTCCAGCCCTTCTTTCTCGCCCTGTCTCTGTTACTTGGGGTTCGAACAGGGGCCATAACTTATGGGCATGTGACGGAAATTTGGTGTCGCTGAGGTCCTGGACTTTAAACTTTTTGGGTTTGGGCAGGAACAGCAGTAGTGATAGACTCCCTTTAAAATCAACAGGGGAACATCAACAAAAATATGTTCCTAGGCTTTGGTGGTAAATAGAGAAGTTGCGACTTTGTTTGGCCCACCCACTCAGGATGTGAGTGGTGTTCCCGCAAAAAACCATGCGGACCTGCACCCCGGTCGACCGGAAAAAGCCACCGGGCTTTTGGGCAGTAAGTACAGCAGTTGGGTGCGTTGTGTCGTTTTTCCCGGAGCAGCTATCAAGAGCCCGCTGTTGCTGTTCTGTTTTTTTTTGTTGGGGGGGGGCATGGTTTATCAGTTTCGGGTAATACATTTTTTGGCACCAAAAAAAACATCGTCTGAATCGGGTGTTTGGTTGAACCCTAGTGAACCAAGCCACTGGCCGCTGTTCTTGCCCTTGCTCTCGGTCTTTTGACCTTGCTTTGTCCGTTTGCTTTGCTCTACGCCGAGATTTTTTTACACTGCATCTATCATCTCTGCTGCATCTGCTGCATGTACTGCGTCAACTGCTTTGCCTGCGTCCACTGCTTCTCTTGCTGATTCATGTTGCTTATTAGCTTGCTTCGTGTAGCTCATGTTAATTGCTGCTGCTCTGGACTGCGACTATGCCTAGTCTCGTATTCAACTAGTGGTGCGTGTTGTCATGTGTCAAGAGCTGGCACTGCCATGTCCCACCACTCGCAAGGAGACTCTGAATCTGACAAGACACCCTGTGGAGACAATGAAAGCACTTTCCATGCTCTTTTGTCCCTTTTGTATCCAACACAACAGGGCAAGGGTATTTAGTGCAACCAGGACCCACCAACGCCATGGTTGTGAGTCCCGTCTCAGTGACCCGGGTTCAAGCCAAGCTTTGGGACCCGTCCAATTGCTGGATTTGAATTTCCGGCCGGATCCGGCCGGGTATTCAATGCCCCCAGCCACCCCTCTTCGCAGTCTCCTCAAAACATCCTATATACATATAGAGAGATACAGATCATGTCATTATGGGTAAAAGCGGAATAGAGTCGGAAGTCAGGAATACCATCCCAAGTAGTTGGTGGACCTAAATCCCTACTTTCATTGTCCACAGAGTGTCCCCAGTAGATCTTCATACTCCTAGCTATATGGGTTGTCTCTAAAATGGGGAACCACGAAAAGAGTGGTTTCCTCCTCAAACCTGGACCACAGTTGTGGAATTGGCTTTTCTGCCAGGAAGAAGTCGTTGACGCGATCAAGCACCATGCCCCCGGCGGCCATGAGGCAGCCAACCGGTGCTTTTCACCAATTCGGGGGTAAAACGAGCTCATCATGGAGGGCGGTTGGTGATTCAGACCTTCAAGCAACATAGTAGCTTGCAACCATGGATATATCTGGGACAACTGGGGGTAATTAGTCTCCTCAGAATCCTGGTTATAACCTACTTACCTGACGTGGTTTGACCACCCAAGTAGATGGTGAGGGTTGCTGAATAGACATGAGCGTGCTGAGACTCCCTGGTGCATCCAAATGCCGGTAGCGACCTGTTTAGCACTACTTTAGATAGACAGGAGATGTGTTTTCTATGGCAAACCAGTTGTTGGAGAATGCAGCAGCCAACACAAGGGCCGGGTATTTGGGTGTTGACAGCGTGCCACCATGCGCAAGCTGCCTCGCTGCAACAAGTCTCGCATGCGTGCTCGCTCACAGGGCCCAGACGGCACCGGAAGGCAAGACTCGCGCCGAGCTGAGGTTGCAGCTTTCCAGACCTTCAGGACTCACTTGCCCAAAGCGAATCGACCTTTTGACCTTTTGGTCTCCCCTTTTTTGGTTCTGTCCATTTTTAGTACAGGTGATCGCCTTGTACTTATGGGCCCTTTGGGCACCTGAGAGCCTGGTTCTATTACTTTCTATTTGAGGAGCTGGTTTTGGCCCTTTGTCCCTGTTCTTGAATGTGGGTTTCTCCTTTTGTTCCTTTCTGATGAATGGTTTTTTCTCTGTGTTCCTTTTTGGGGAATGAGACTTTCCCGTTTGACCTGCTTTCTTAAATGGGGTTTCCCCTTTTTTCCCTGAACGGGGTTTCCACTGTGTTCCTTTCTGAGAATGCTGAAATGGGGCTTCCCTTTTTCATTATTGTAGAAGTTGTTTCCCATTTCCCTGTTGTTGAATCGAATTGTCCCAACAGACGTTGCCGTCTTTGGCGCTTGCTCAAGGGCCCGAGCCAGTTGCTATTAACCCCAAACAAACCAACGACCCCACTAAAATATTAGCAAAACTCACCCGAAACCAGCCCGAGCAACGTCCAACTGCCACCAAAGTTTGGTGAGTGCTGGGGACGAGGCCCACCCCACCCCTGGGAGTGAAGCAAGGGTCCCCAGCCAACCTGTTTACAGGCGAGCCGGGGCTGGTGGAAAGCCGGGGCTAGAAAAAAAAGCACTCGACTTTCCCCTTTTTGAATGGTTGTTCCGTTTTGTGTTTCTTCTTCTTTCTTTGCTGTTGTTGAATGGTTTCCGTGGTTTCCTTGTTGAATGGGGATTTCCCATCTTGTCCTTCTGTTGAACGGGGTTTATCCTTTTCCCTTTTCGTTGACGGTGGTTTTACCATGTTGTTTTTCCATTTTGTTTTTTCCTTGTGCTTTGTTGTTGTTTCATAGGGGTGTTCCTTTCTCACTTTTGTTGAATGGGGGTTTGCCTGGTCCATTTTTGTTCAACTGGGGTTGCCCTTGTTTTTGTTCCTTGCGCATTTTTGTTGAATGAGGTTCCGTAGTTGCACTGATGCAAATCCAGTGATTCCATCTCATGAAGTAGGTAACACAGGGAACCGCAGTGAGGGGGGTCCACTGAAAAGCACAAAGCCACCAACCAGTTCTTTCGCATCACTTCTCAGACTTCGGCGCCTAAGGACAGCGGCAGTGCAGCACTCAGCCGGTTCGCCCTGGTCTTATAAATCAAAGGTCTCCCCCGCCCGTTTTCTGAGGACCAGGTTTCCATGTCAGAGGCTGGTCGTCATTTAGGTCATTTTGCACCCTTTGAGAGCTGATCTCCGACAATCAATCCATAACTTACGGTTAGTTAGCCCATAAACTTGGGGTTTGTACCAGTCATACATGGACGCATACATTTAGCATCTGACCAAGGAACTTCATTTTAGTCAGGGACAATGTAAGGGGGAGTTGTGTTTTTTGGTGGTTTCAAACATCACCATTTGGGCCCTTGCAAGGTGAGTTTCCTTTGGTAGTGGTATATAGTGAATAGCGGAAAGCTCTGTGCCTCACAACCTATGATGATAGAGTTCCAATACCATCAAATGAAATGAATCCAAGATTGTTCAGATTCCCTATTTCTCCCAGCTGAACTTGCGTGCTTCACTTGCATGCCACTGCAATTACTTGGTAGGACAGCCAAAAAGCAGCCTCTGTGCAAGCATGTCCAAACGTCTCCCTAAGAATGTTGGGACCTCAATGAAGGTCAACTTCGAGGCAAACAACACCAATGGAGCTCTCAAATTGGACTGCTATGGAGGATCCATCTGGGAAACCCCCCCGAAAGTCGAGCACCTCCTTCGGACCTTGGCGAATCTTTTTGGTCCAGAAGCGGGGTAAGGGTCATGACGCATTTTGGACACCCACTCTTGTGGGCCCTCCAGTGGAGAACTCGAATCGCGAGCACGTCCTCCAACTCCTTCAACAGTCCCACTGACCCCAAAAACCGGTTGACTCCGAGTTTTTAAGGAGTTGTTGTGGTGCAATAAGTGTTCTCCGGTTTTTCAGCGTAGACCCTTGCGACCGGAGAGAAGTTGGGCCCCTCCAAGGCTGGGGATGGAGAGTCGGCTCAAGGCCACCTCCGCGGTCTTCAAGGCGCGGCTCCTTCGGTCCAACGAATTTTGGAGCCGCGGGGTCCTCAAAACCTGGAGGTTGATGAAAAGGTCCTGTCTAGGCCCAGGATCGTGCCCCTTTTGCCGTTTCTTTCTTGGGGAGGAACGGTGCCCCTACTAGAATAGACTACAGAAATAAGGTTGCCCTGATTCTAACCTCTCTACTGGAGGACCTAGCTTTACATGCATTGGATGACCATTGGGGAGAACCACGAAAAAGATGAGACTGCCCTCTAAATGGGACAAGTCACCCACAGTCATTTAGGGCCCCCAACTCACCAACCTTTTCCATGGGAAACATCATCTTTGTAGTGGCTCCCTCCAACGGTCATCCCATGTATTTCGGATCTTTTGATCACCACCCTGTCATACGGAAAGAACTTGTTGTTTTCTTCATCACCTTGTTCCCGAGTCAGCTGGCACCAATCTTACATGCCCTAGAAAAGTGAGTATGGGGTTTACGGGGTCAATGCCATGCAAGCTCAACACCACCCTTTGTGAGGGCCCAACATTCATATGGCCCGAAGGCTCCCGATTGCCGGGTCCTCCAAACAAGCACCGGTTTCTCCGTTCGATTCTGCAACGTGTCGTCCGGAAGGCGTCCATGACGATGGAAGCGGACCCCGGAGAAGGTCGCGACAAGCTTCAGGCGCAAATAATACCTACTCACATCCATCCCCCAGTCGGTTTAGGGAGTCGGATCTTGTGGCAGATCGAGAGCGACAAAATCAGCTTTCGTCACGAAGGCGTCACGCCGAAAAAGAGGGCACCAACAATGCCCTGAATCCCTTAGCTGTACAAAGAGGAGAAGGGCTGCCTGCATCAGCAACCCTCCATCCAGAACGGTGCCCTTAAAAAGGCTGTACAAAATGGAACGTTGCCCATTCTAAGCATCGGCAAGGGTGAAGGGGAACCTCTAGTGGTTCTGGTTTTGGTTGCCTCAAAATGCCAACCTTTAGAGGACCTAAGATGCTTAGGGTGGCCACCCTACCCGCTACTCACAAGAATGACCAATCATAATAGTCAATAACCCCCCTCCCGCCCCCGCTGATCCCTCCTCAACAAAGCAGGGTCCTAAAATGGAAGTCTCGGCAGGTCGATTGTATTGCCAAGTTTCGGGCCGATTTGGAGTTTCCAATTGATTTAGTATTGCTGGAGCTTCCTTTTGAGATTGGACTTGAGGAATTTAATGTCCATAGCACTTTGTATTGCTGCCTTTGTGGGAACATGAACTTGGGGTGTTGCAAGAAACAATATCTGGGTCCCCCAGTAGTGCCCTGTTACTCTTTTTTGGGGAGGGTTCCCCTACTAGAATAGACAACAGTAAAAAGGGGACCCTTATTCTAACCTCTCTACTCAAGGACCTAGATATGTAGGAAGCCTCGACTTTGTGGAAGCTGGACATGTTGGACTTTGGGAAAGGACTGAACAGCTGACAGCTTCACTCTCAGCTGGGTGAGTAAACCTTCAAGGACCGGTGGCTGGCTTGGCCTGTTCCTCTCCGCGTTTTGTGTACACAAATAAATAAATGAATCAATATATATATACACACACACACATTTTAGTAGTAAAGTTACAAACATCTGGATTTGTGCTCACCAATGCTCTGAGGAAGTGAGAGGTTGTAGTTATCACCCATGCGAACAAGGGTCAATATTCAGACTTGCTGGCTCACCCAGACCTCCGAATGGGGCGCACTTACCAAATTGCCGTGTCAGCAGACTCAGCAGACCACAGCGAATGCTGAGGGTGCCAGCTATACTAATGGGGAGGGTCGCCGCTATGCCCGAACAACTACTTGCAACAGCGAATGGTGTGCACAACCAGCTTCTAGCACACAAACAACTCTTCAAGCATGAAGCGCACAGGGGGTTGTGTTTGTTGTTTGAGGATACCCTTTTGGTTGGTTTCAATTGGAATCCAAGACAAACAGTCATTTCGTGCTACATTTTGAGACAATCCCAGCTTTGGTTTCCCTTTTTAAGAGGCCAATGACAAAGGATCTGACTTTCGGGAAGCACCATTGTCACTTCCTAAAAGGTCATCGAGGCGCCTAGTTGGGTCACTGTCGAGCCCTACAGAAGTTCCTCACTTTTGGTATTAATCTGCCGGGTTGATTCAGGGTCGACGGCGGATTCGCCTCTTTGGCTCGAGCGCGTGTGTGCTTTGCGCAGCTTTTTTTCCAACGACCTCGAGGTTATCGAAAGCTTTTCGGCAGCAAGCAGCCAAGTTTTTTTGGTATGCACCCTGGGACACCCTGCCCAAAGCATGGACTCCTCATTGCAGGACGCCTACCGGACCTCCATTGGTTTTCATCCCTGTGCAAAGCTCTTGGCCCCTTTGGCTCACCCCATCCAGAACCCGCACTCGGTGCCGGTTTGACATGTATTGGAGGGGTTTCGGATGTTTTTCGGGGCCTGCGGGTCGGGTTTCTCCATTGGAGGGTTGGTCTAGAGACCTCGACGCTTCAATCAATGCGATTGTCTCGGACTCAACACTCCGGAGCCTGTTGGGCCTTTCATTTTGGCTGGAAATGCCGTGTCCAAATCACATGGAACCAAACTTTGGCGCTGCGGGGATCAATGGACCATCCTGAGGTTCCGATGGCTAAAAGCCATCAGACTCGTATGCTCCTGACTTGTGTCTCCGAACTGGGGGACGCCGAATGGTTTCCTAAGCAATTTAAGGGACAAACACTCCCTGCTTCAACTACCACTGGTCATTGCGCATCATATGAAATGTTGCCAGTCGCCGACAAACAACATGAGATATCAAAACCATTTGAATCCACCTTTTCCAAAATTTACCCTGACAAAAGCCGGGTATTTGGAGTACTTAGGTGCTCAAACCACATACCAAGTAGGTTGTAACCGTGGTTATAACGGGATTAGTTGCCCCATGGTGAAGTCGCAAGAGGAGTTTCGCATTTTCCGGGTGCCGTGTTTTTTTTCCCCGAGGCATGGGCGGCGGCAACGGACAGAAGTCGGCAAGTGCGCGTGCCAGGAACCAGGCGAAGGCTGATGCGGAGAAGGCGCGGCAGATTTTGGTCCTCCCTTCGCTGAGGTCGCGACCATTCAGGGCAATGACAAGGAAACAGCAGACCAGCAGGATGTTTTTCAACTGGATTTCCCTGATCAACGAACTCCACGAAGCACCAACCAGGCCCTGGGTACTTGGACGCTCCGGGTTTGTTATAGATTTTTCGGGAAGCTCCAGTTTCCGGGTTGGGGGAACCTCTTGGCCGCAGGGTGGTGGCGGCGGAAAGGACGGGCCCGGGCCTTGGCATTCGGTACGCACAGGGACCCGCGTTGATGTTTAAACTACTTGCTTCAAGCAAAAGTAGTGTCAAAGTGTTTGTTGGAATGTTATTGACCAGCACAATCAAGATAGTAGTTATGTTTTTAAGTAGTTGATTTTCCTTGAGTTTCCCTTTCAACCCGAAAGCACACTTCGTGCAAACTCGGAGCCTGGCCCAAGGCATCGGTGCCGTGTTTTCCGGTTGCCCCTAACCCTTGCCGCGGCTCGAGGATCCCGTACGAGTTGACAGGTCATAGCAATTCCAGCCTGGATGCCAATAGCTTTTAACGCAAGACTTCTTGTATAATTGGCATACCTTCATGCCTCCAAAACCCATACCGGAACATGCCCTTGAAACGCATCATTTGTCGGGGTCTCATAAGACAGAGACCCAGGTCCGGAAATCCTTGTTCAAAGTTCTCACTGCAACCAGTGGCCATATGTAAGCCAAGTTGTGCATGGAACATATTAGGGTCATGACCCCTCCAATGCGCCCAGGGGCCCTCCAATCAGTCGGTACCCTTAGGATTGCGAGTGATTTGACCCTTTTTCCAGGCCCAAGAACCTCAGGTGCTGTCCAAAAACCAGTCGTTGGCACCCTGGCGATGACCTGGGTAAAGCGAGCCGAGGATGCAGAAGCGCCAGGCGCAAATGGACCTGAAGTGTGGCCTGGCCAATGAGGAGTTTTCGGAGCTCCCTCTCTTCCATTTGCTGAGATGATGTTG